CTCGTGTTTCTAGAGTTACGTGTTGTTACGAACACGTTAGGAATTGTTAAAATGTGATATTTCTTAAAGGGAGTTTGGTGCAGGGAGCTTTTAGTAGATGCTCTGTCTGTGTATTATATATATATATATATATATAAATGTGTGTGGTTGTATGTTGGTGTGTGTATTACGTACGAGTTCCTGCATTAAAAAGTTAAAACAACCGAAGAAAACACTGAATGATTCAAAAAAGAAGCATAAGAAGCATGTATAATTGTTAAAAAGTAAAAAAATACACAATACAGACAGAGAATTGTATAAAAAATATGAAGAAAACTAATCTCTGACCAATATTTACAGGATATAATCTGCTCAAAATGTCTAAAATCTCTAATTTTACACAAACTTCCTGCAGTTATTGTGTTCACTGTTTGTGTTAATTATCACTGTTTATCACTGTTATTGTTACTCATTTAATATAACATGAAATATCTATAAAATATAGTCAGTTTACTTAATGATAGAAAAGAGTTCCCTTGAGGTAAAAAGCTGGGAGCCACTGCTGGTATTATGTTTACTTGTATTTATATGTGTGTGTATGTGTACTGTGCTTTAAAAAGTGCTATATAAATAAACTTTTATATATTATATCAGTAAAATACAAACAAGAATAATTAAATTCACTTAAAAATCATTCTTTTTTCTTGTTTCTACATTTGGATGTTGGATTTTTTATTTCTTTGTAAGACCAAAGGGGGTCAGAGAGGAGCTGGATTAAATGAAACAGCTCTGTAAATCCATTACACAGAGGAGGTTACGGTACAGTGAACAGTCTGAATCTTACCTGTTCCCACATGGGCCCTAAATCGCTCCTGTAATCTTGTCACTAAGGCAGATAGGAGGTCCAAGCCCAGCAGAGCCACCTGGTGGAGACACAAGAGAACACAGAGATAAGAATAAATGGCACATTAAAGTAATAAATGCAGATTAAAGCAACATTTCACCGAAAGAAACCAAATCAATCAACTCAAACAGCACAGGCACTATTAATAATCACATATGGGTGGAATCATCTCAGCTGCAACACTGGAAAAAGCCCAGATTGGAGGCTTTACTCAAACTGCTGCTGCAAAGCCTCATGGGTAAACAGAGCAGTTCTGTTTGTAAGCTGTTTGTGAGCTCAGGAGCGACACTGGCCTCCTGCTACCTCCACAACATCACCTCACAACACATCTGGAGCCGACAGGAGCATGAAACACAGCCCCACCCCGGCACCACGAGCCAACACCCGCTGCCCACACATTGATATAAAAGCCCCGGGCCCCTCCCACAACATCCGTCCTTGTCATGGGGTGAGGGAGCTGCTCAGTGAACGCATAGTGAGAGCAGCCCTGCTGACACCATAACAACACCTGCGCATCACCTGGACTCTGTCCGGGACACGGTGCAATTTTTGGAAACTCTTAAAGGTATGAATATTAAAAACTAATGCAGATTATAATGCAGTATCAGTATGGCGCCCCCTGGTGGTGGCAGAGCAGACTAACACAGGAACTCAACATAGTGACAGCATGTGGAAGTTAAACTAACTCTACCTCAGGGTGGCCATCAAATCCCTTTTCCAGGACCTTTCCAGGAGTTTTTCTTGACAATACAGTTGCTTAAAAACTGCAGTTTTGGGTAAACTGACTTCATTAATTTAACCATAGTTAATCAGTAACAGTTCACATGAAGTATAATCTATTTTATTTTACAGAAAATGTTATATTTCAGCCACATTTATCAATATTTTGACCTGTAATCTTAAATATGTGTGCACATATATCACTTAACTTATTTAGTGTAAATATACTAATATATACTAGATTATATTATTCTTGGTATAAAAACCTTAACTAATGTAAAAACCATTGACTGTATATAAAAAAACATCAAACACTGTTACACACCCTTCTTCAGGTTTACTCACAGGTGTGATAAACAGGTCGTATCTGGGTCACATGACTCGGTTTTACCTTTTTTACAAAGGTGAAAGTATATTAAAAAAACATATTATTACAAAGAATGACATGAAACATAAATCATGTTTAATTCACTTTAATCTTAATATAAAACAACAATTTCATTTAGTTTTCTTCACAGAAATGAATGAAATGCTGAAATTTAGGTCAGCTTTATTTATATTTTAAAACACGGGTTCCCAACCTCGGGGTCACAAAAAGGTCACAAAGTCTTTTTGATTCATTTTTAAATACAGGATCTAATGGCATCTAGTGGAGTAGTGCAGATTGCAGAGAGAATCATGGCACCCTCTGTAGATAAAAACAGCTCAACAATTCTTCTATTCAGGTGATTAAACACCAATAAAAACGTACCTGTGAATATTATATCTGACAATAGATCCTCCTCAGTGTTTCACACTGGAGCTTTAGGGGTGTGACTGAACCTATATCTCAGTATTTCATTCATTTCTGTGAAGAAAACTAAATGAAATTGTTATATTTAGCGACCCCCACTACGGGTTCACGGGGGGGTCGAGTCCCTCAGGTTGGGAACCAGCGTTTTCTGCTGTCACATACTGTATTTTCTTGCTCTTCCAGATCTTTCACTCCCACTGGAGGAACCGGCAGTGAGCATCCAAGCAGGCAGAAGGCCCGGCTGTCTACAGGCCCTAATCCTCCCATCAGGTTCCTTTGTTCTCCAACTGGAGGGAATTACAGTAATTAGACTGATGACAGGGCCCAAACAAAGACCCCATCAGTGCTACAGAGCTTTAAAACCTCCACAGAAACTCCACTGTCCTCAGCCTGAAAAGGTCACCTCAGCCCCGACCTCAGCTCTGACCTCAGCCCCGACCTCAGCCCGACCTCAGACCCGACCTCAGCTCCTCTCAGGTGAGCTCGACGCAGGAGGTCTTTCTCTCTATCTCCTCTTCTTCAACTCGCTGAGTCACAGACTGCGACCCTGTGTCTGAGCCCTGCAG